CCTCATCTCACAATGTCGCTTGGGGCCCCAAGTTGGCCAGGGACGGCCCTGAACACAAGGCAATTCAAAGTGCTTCACAAAAATGAAAGACATTAAGAAAAAGGCATTTTAAAACAGTCATTAAAAAGCAACACAATCTACCTGCACAATTACTCTAAACGTGTAATAACATGCTTTAACCAGTAGGCGGTGCGGGTTAAAAAGCTGTCAAGTTTACAGTGTTAAACTTTTTCCGGTTTATTCTGAGGCCCAATCTCTGTAGATAAATAAACTACTGCGACAGATGTGTAATATTTAATGCAGCCAAACCATTTATTACAATGCATTCATGTGATGACTTTCAAAGAGTAAAGCAAGCACTGCTGAATAAAGTATGATTTTATCTTTTACAAAACGTTTTTTTCATATAGAATGCAGTTGGAGGTCAACCAATCACAGAGCTTGAGGACTAATCACGGGGCTTGTCGAGCAAAGCGGAACGATAGCTGAGGATTATGGGTAGTGTAGTGTCTTCGGCAATCCTAAACTCCGAAAAAATATTTGTTTCTCCGAATCGAAGGGGAAAAACACAAAACCATTGTACACAATTTAAACCAATCAATGTTGTGTAATTAACAAGGATAATCTGGTGTTTTGAGTTGATGAGTAGTGCAGATATCACTGTAAAATCAATCGACAGTAAGGAGAATACTTACTTCCGGGTGTAAAATTCTCCGTTATCCAATGGGAATGGACGCTCACATTGCCTTTAACTGCCGCCGACATGGACCGATGCGGTACTTGCCTGAGCGTCAAATACCGCCGCCGATGGGAATACATTGCAATCAGTTGAAAGTTCTTTGCGTCCGTTAATGAAGCTAAAGGAGACTCGGCGCGTCACAACTGGCGCCAAAGGACCCTGACCAAGCGTCGCTATTGGACTATCAGGGAGTGAGACTGTGTTGCACAAAGCGTGGTGTGCTGGTTGTTAAAGACCCCACTGGTCAGGCATCATCTGCCTCATGTGTTATAGGCATGAACATCCTTAAAACATGTTACAGGGAGTTATTTTCACTGCATGGCTCTGCTCTTTTTGATTTGCCCTCTGTCTCACAGGCCCCCAGCCAGCTTCAACAAGCTTTTCAAAAGTATCACCAAGCTCAGGTCAATGGGCCCTCTGATCACTCGAGTAGAGTAAAAGTCAAGGGCAGGAGAGTTTTCAGAGTCCCTGGTGGAACTATGAAGCTGGTTGCAGCGACTTTCTCCCAGCATCATGCAGGTAACTATGGCTTGTTTGAACCCCTGAGTGTTGGCTTGCCTGCTGGGTTGCTAGCTTCTCCATCCCTGGTCCAAATGACACGAGGTACAGTCTACATCCCTATAGTCCATGTGGGGGTTAATGATGTTGTCCTCTGCCCATGCACCGTGATAGTTACCTTGAGCCATGCCCCTCTGGTGAGTCTGCCCACAGGTGTCACAGAAAGTGCAGAACAGGTGACAGCCAGAGTGTCTTCACAGACAGTCACAACTCAGTGCAAGAGAAGATTAATGGCATTTGGCTGCATTGTCAGAAGAAAATCAGTGCCAGGTCAGGTCCCTACTACAAAATCATAGTGAAGTATTTTCAGCTCATGAGGGAGACTTAGGCTGCACAAATCTGATCTCACATGACATTCCAGTGCTCTATGAAATACCAAAACGCCAGAGGTACAGACGTATCCCGCCCTCAGAGTATGACACGGTTAAAACCCACATTCACCAGCTTCTTGAGTCACGGGTGATCAGGGAGAGCAGTAGCCCTTTTGCATCGCCTATTGTCCTGGTCAAAAAGAAAGATTGCACTCTTCAGATGTGCGTCGATTACCGGCTGCTTAACAACAAGACCCGAAAAGAGGCCTTCCCTTTGCCACGGATTGAGGAATCCCTAGATGCACTCTCGGGGGCCCGTTGGTTCTCCACGCTGGATCTGGCTAGTGGGTATCATCAAGTCCCTGTCACAGAGAAGGATAAGATGAAAACTGCCTTCTGTACCCCATTCGGCCTTTTTGAGTGGAACAGGATGCCTTTTGGGCTTTGCAATGCCCCAAGTACCTTCCAAAGGCTAATGGAGAGAATATTTGGGGCCCAACATTGTCAGTCTCTGTTATTATACCTAGATCAGGGGTCACCAACCTTTTTTAGGGTGAGGGCTACTTTCAAAAAATAAAACAAGTCGGGGGCTACTTTTACTCCTCTTTTTTTTTTTTTGCAGTGTATATATTTAGCACATTTTAACATGATGATATGCTGACCTTTAACCTTTGTGTGCTGTTTGGGTCTGTGGGACCCGTTTGCAGTGTTTACTAAAAGAACATGTATGCAATCTAATTATTTTAACCTGCTTTATTTGGGGGTGGACGGGCCTCACCTCCTCCTTGATTTTTTTTACTGTCCTATAGTACACATTGGAATGATTTCTTACTTTATCTATATTAAATAGATAAAGGTATGCTCTCCCTAGCTCTCTCTCTCTCCCTCCCTCCCTCCCCCCCAGCTCTCTCGCTCTCTCTCTCCCCCTCTCTCTCCCCCTCTCCCTCCCTCCCTCCCTCCCTAGCTCTCTCGCTCGCTCTCTCTCTCTGTCTCGCTCGCTCACACCAACGCGGTTCCAGGGCTGGTTCGGAGCTGGAGCTTGAAAAGCACCGGTTTTTCCTGTTCACACCGCAGCGGAGCCGCCTCTAAGCTCCGGAATCCGGTTTGTTTCAAGCACCAAAAAGTTGTCGGTCTAGAAAGCAAGCACCGCATACGTCACGCTTACGTCGGAAGATCTGGGCTGTGTCCAAATAACACGCGACATCCGCCTTTTCGCCAGCTTCAACATGATCTGTGGAAATAACATTGAGAATCAGTTTTAATGTTATACCATAGTAATGAATGCTGCAAAGCTGGGTATTTTGAGCTTGGCGCATGCAGAGGCTAACAACAGCTAGCTCTAATGCCATCGAATAGGACGTATATTTACCTTCTTTCTCCTACCGAATCGTCGTTGAAGTTGATGATGATGATTGTAAAGAAGTCTTGAATGTAGCATGTAAAGTTGGTAGTAAAGTCGTCCCATTTGTTCCATTTAGTTTCGACAGAGCAAAACCAAAACGAGCTGAACCGAAAAACCGGTTCTCAACCAGAAAAGCTCTACCACGGAGCTAGAACGGGAAAAGCCTTGGTGTGAAAGGGGTAACAGAGGCTGTGAGCTCCTCCGTGGCGATCGACGGCTTGCGTTAAAAATAATAATAAACATATTTGTAAAGTGGGGGGGCACAAACGGGATTTCGAAAAGAGCGGGGGACATTTCCCCCCTGTCCCAGGTGGAAATTACGCCATGCGTGTGTGCGTCAAGTGCAATAAATATATATGCAAGTTGCAACACACAGAGTAAAACTCTGCCCCCCATGTGCTGTATATGGCTGGCATGATAGGCTGTTCAATGGGGCTGATGTGTTGTGTAGATTCTGCCAGAAGGAAAATCAGCGGGGAGGTGCCACATTGCTTTTCTTCCAGACTGCAACGCTGGTCCGGCAAATCAAGCAAGAACGTGATTGGTAGATATTCATTGTGGGGGTGGGGGGAGGAGGGGTGTTAGATAGATATAGAGTTGTAGTAAGTAGATAGAGTTCGCTATGATTTAGGTTTCGTTTATGCATAGGGTAGATTCTTTTAATTACATCCTAGTACACTATATGACTGAAGTTCAGTTCTGGGGCGATGGAGAAATCGCCCCGGGTGTCTGTAGCAGGTTAGCCAATTGCTGATTCAAGATGTGAACATATGTCAAAAGATTTAGCCAATCAGCATCCTCAAAACTACTTCCGGAGGGGCGATTATTGTATCGCCCCAAGTAAGCAACTGCTACGCAGCTGGACGACGCCCACAGGATTGCGGTTGGGAAACACAATGAGGAAGTGGATAAAAACAGGCATATTTTATCCAAAATAATGAAGTTTTGTTGTGCTTTTGAGTTGGCTTTTTGTGGGCATGACGAGACTGACTCTTCAGTCAGCCCTGGGATTTTCAGGGAATTGGTGTATTTAGTTTCCTGCACACTGTGCTGGAGGAGCACCTGAAGACCGCCACCCTTTTTAAAGGCGCGTCAAAGACGTACACCACATTGATTTTAAGAATAAGAATAATTATTGTGTTACATCTTCAGCTTTTTGTATTACTGTTGATTATACCGTTGTTCTGTAATATATATATATACATACATATACATATATGATATATATATTATCATATATATATATATATATTATATACATCATATATATATATATACATACATATATGTATGCAAGTATTGCTAATGCCATTGATTTAAGTTTTTGTACATAGTCATTACAATTAACGCTGAAAACTCCTCCACCATACTGGGATGTTTGCTGAAATTGATTGCATGTGGCACAGCACTACCTAGAAAAAATTCCACCAGACGCCACTGGCTGCAGATGATGAGGGGTGAATGGTAAATCATGCAGATAAACAATAAAACACCTGTTGTCTGAATGGGAGAGCATCAGCAGCCTTCACGTGGGCTTTTCAAATGCGTTGTCCAGTCATCTGGGAGATTGTCAGCCAGATGCATCTGTCCTCCTGGATGTGCCCAGCAGGGGGCAAAGTGTTTAAAGACCAACTACAGCAATGGTAGCCAAATCAAGTCTGGGGAGCCATTGGAGGGTTTCTTTTTAATGTAAGTTCTGCATTCGGCAAATAACTGTTCATTTATGTTTAGTTTATGATGCCAGGATATGGTTTTCTGCGCTAGAGCGCTCTTTCCATGCGCAACAGGAACTGCACCTGTTCGCTTATGCTGCCTTCAAGTGCCTCTTGCAATGTTGTATAGAAGTGGCAAAATAATTTCAATTAGATGGATCTTCAATGTTATGTGTAGCAGTTGATGCTCTACTTTTTTTATTTTTTTATTGTTGTTATCCACCCCAACAAAAAAGCAACGTTTTTAAAACATGTGGACCTTCCCTGATGTTTTATAACTTAAAAAAACGATTTTTCCGACCGTACATGAAGTCAGCAGCCCTTCTGATACGAACGTGAGGAGCGTTTCCTTCTGTTCCCACTGAGGCGACGGGGACGTGGGACGGGATGAAGACATGAAGTGGAGAACAAAAGACGAATATGTGACCAGAGTAGGAGCTGCGATCTAGAAAAGTGGTATTTCCTTATAAAACGACAAGGAAAACATGGCAAATGGAAGTTCTCCAGATGCGGCTCACAGGGCGCACATCTTGGAAAACCCTCTCCGGGTGAGTCTTTAGGAAGGACAGGTTTCTCCAGAGTGGATCATGCATTACATGAGTATTTTTTGGGAGAATAGGTTAAGTCAACATATTATGTATTATATATATGTATGTATGTATGCTGAGATAAAAACCAATGTTAATGTGAAGAGAATGTCTCCATCATGGGGTGAGTCACTTATTTAAGATGTAGCTAACATAGCTTCATCTTCTTGATTCGTTGGGCACCGCGGTGAATTTAGTTTTAGGTTGGATATTCGACAGACATTCGCGGACCCGCCAGCAGCGTCAGTTTCCCGGACCCGCCAGCAGCGTCAGTTTAACGGGGAGATCTTCTCCGCGAAACGAGGCTTTCACTTAGGGACCATCAACAAATGACTTTTACAAATACACAAGAAAAATGTTCTTTTTAATAAATCGACAGCTTCTCGATCGTGTGAATGTGAAGCAAATTCATTCTAGAGCAAACATTTATTGAACACACCTCTTTTTGTTGCATTTTAATACGTTAAATACGTTTTATTAATATTTTTGATGGAAACATTTGCATATTTCTTCAATAACTGCTAGGTAGTGTGACATAATGACTCAAAATCAGTGCTGGATCAAATAACTACACTTGCTGCATAGGACACACCTCTTTTTATTGCATTTTAATACTTTAAATATTTTATATTAATATTTTGATGGAAAAATTTGCTTATTTCTTCAATAACTAATGACCTGTCATGTGGACAGGTCATTACTCCCTCTCCTTCTGTTCCCAAAATACCAACCACACTCCATTCCCTCTCTGCCTCTAAAACATTATCCTTTAGTTTTTCTCTTTCAGCTTTAAAGATGTCACAATGTAACAAGATATGTTCCACATCTTCTTTAACTCCACAGCTCCCACACTTGTCACTGTCACTTTTCCCCATGATACAGTATACAGCGTACCATTCAAAGCCGTGTGATTTAGTCTGAGTCTAGCTATCATGATTTCCTCCCTTCTGTTTCTTTCTTTATAAATATGAATTGTAATTGTCTTTTGTACTTTGTGATATTCTTTGCCTTTCTGGTCTTTCTCCCACCTTTTCTGCCAGATCTCCATCCCTTTCTTCTTAATTACTGCTTTTCCTTCTCCTTTACCAAGTTGAACTGGTAATGTTATTTCCTTTTGTAGTGCACTTTTTGCTCATTTCTCAGCACACTCCTTCCCTTTCACCCCCTCATGTGCAGGCACCCAGCAGAACTGCAGATCTATACCGCCTCTGTGAAGTCTTAACAGGCTATGATTCAGTTCTATGAGAATGTCTTCTCTGACAGTTGTTGTTGATTGTATTCTTTGTAATATGGACAATGAATCAGTGCATATCACCACCCTATCTGGTCTGACCTCTTCAACCCACTGTAATCCTATTATTACAGCAAGCATTTCTGCTGTATACACTAATAATTGATCAGACGCTCTTTTTGAGATAGATATTTTAAAGTCTGGGATGTATATACCAACTCCAACACACTCTTCTTTGGTCTTAGAACCATCTGTGTACATTTGTAGGTAATTGTAGTACTTTTAGTTCAGATACATACTTGTTTTAATTCCCACTTCATTTATTTGCCACTATTTTTACCTTTCTACAATACTCATATCTATTTTAGCTTCTGGGAAAAGCCATGGAGGAACACTACTAAATGGGCTTGCTTTGGCAAACGTGATGGTCTCCACTCCATATGCCCTCGTTCTTTCCTTACTTGTCCAGCCAAACACACGTCCCTGGGCTTCTATGTCACATGACAGAGAAGCTGTTAAAACAAAATTGAGTGTGACAGTCAGTCACATGACAGAGAAGCTATTGAAAAAATAAACAGAATTTTCCATACAAAAATGTATTCATATTAACCCTTGTATAGTGTTTCATTATTTATCTAAAGAAAAATGATATGATACATTATTTGTTCAAACTCACACTCAATGGCGTTGGCTAATTTTCTGTGAAGAACATATATCAGAACACATTTTCAATGACCACCCACTGTACACCCCCCCTACACATTTATATTACATACAGGATGTTCGGGGCTAACACAAGTGTGGAAATTGTGTGTGTGTGTGTGTGTGTGTGTGTGTGTGTGTGTGTGTGTGTGTGTGTGTGTGTGTGTGTGTGTGTGTGTGTGTGTGTGTGTGTGTGTGTGTGTGTGAGTGCGTGCGTGCGTGCGTGCGTGCGTGCGTGCGTGCGTGCGTGCGTGCGTGAGTGATCACAACTGATCAAGATGGCCAAATGATTCTCTGCTCAGAGGGCCTTGCAAATGATTTTGATGTATGAGGAAGAGGAAGGTGTTTCAGAATGTGAGGATCACATTTCTGAGAATTCTGAGTCCGACAGTGACTTTGAAGAACAGGATTAGATTGAGCATCAGCTAGTTACAAAAAAAAGACGAGCCACAGGACCAGCCGGTCAGCGGGCAAAACAACAAGTACTTTAATTCATTAATCAAGGTTCAAGGTTTTTATTTGTCATACGAACATAGCTACAGTGTAGTTATGACGATGAAAATCTTAGCTCACAGGCTTCTCCAACAATGCAACACAATAACACAGATAAACAGACAAATATAGTGCAAGTAAATAGTAAATACAAAAAGAAAAATAGTTTAAAAAAGTGAAATAGTACAATAAGAGTCTATATGCAAGTTATTGGAATGATATATTAGAGAAATAGATAAATAATTACTAAATAGCAGATGAATGTTATGGATGTTGTTTCAACAGTTCAGGTGTTTAACAGATGTTGTTTCAGCACTTCAGTTGTTTAGCAGTCTTATTGCCTGTGGTATGAAACTGTCCCTGAGTCTGGTGGTTTTAGTCAGGATGCTGCGGTAACGCCTGCCAGACGGCAGCAGACAGAACAGTTTGTGGCTGGGGTGATGGGGGTCTTTGATAATCCTGAGGGCTTTCTTCCTGAGCCGCTGGGAGTAAAGGTCCTCCATGGATGGCAGCTCCGTCCTGGTGATGTTCTGTGCAGTTTTCACCCCCCTCTGTAAGGCCTTACGATTGAGAGCGGTGCAGCTGCCGTACCAGGCCGTGAAGCAGCCAGTCAGGATGCTCTCTATGGTGCACCTGTAGAAGGTCAGGATTCTCTCTATGGTGCACCTGTAGAAGTTGCAGAGTATCCTGGAGTCCATGTTGAACCTCCTCAGCCTGCGGAGGAAGAAGAGCCGCTGTCGAGCTTTTTTGGTGATGGTGGTAGTGTGAAGAGTCATGTCAGGTCCTCAGTGATGTGGACCCCAAGGAACCTGAAGCTGCTGACTCTCTCCACCGTAGTCCCATTGATGGCGATGGGGGCGTGACCCTCTCTCTGCTGCTTCATGTAGTCCACAATCAGCTCTTTGGTTTTGCTGACGTTGAGATGGAGGTTGTTATCCTGGCAGCAAGTGTAGTTATTTGACCCAGCACTGATTTTGAGTGATTAGGTCACATGACCTGGAAGGTATTGAAGCAATATGCTCATTTTCGCATACAAATATTAATATACAAATATTTAAAGTATTAAAATTCAATAAAAAGAGGTGTGTCCTATGCAGCAAGTTTAGTTATTTTATCCAGCACTGATTTTGAGTCATTAGGTCACATGATCTAGAAGTTATTGAAGAAATATGCAAATGTTTCCATCAAAATATTAATAAAACGTATTTAAAGTATTAAAATGCAATAACAAGAGGGTGTTCAACACATGTATGCTCTAGAGTGGATTTGCTTCACATTCACTCGATCGGGAAGCTGTTGATTTATTAAAAGGAACATTTTTCTTGTGTAATTGAAAAGTCATTTGTTGATGGTCCCTAAGTGAAAGCCTCCTTTCGCGCAGAAGATCTCCCCGTCGTAATACAGCCAGCAGCAGGGGAAACTGACGCTGCTGGCTGGTCCGCGAATGTCCGTCGAATATCCAACCTAAAACTAACTTCACCGCGGTTCACTGGGCACTAGGGCTGAATGATTTGGAGATACAAATATATTTTGTAATCAGAAATGTTTGCAATATCTTTCATTATATTGAATGGAATTCTCTTTTTTGGATATTTTCTGGATATTTTCAGTGAATAATATATTAAAAATCATTGCTATGCTCTGTACAAAACAAAGAAATATTTTGAATACAATTACGATTTAGGAACAGTGAGTGACTTTAATGTACGAGACAAGAATACGTTTTAAAACATCTTTTCTAAATATAAGCTCAGCCTCAAAGCTCTGGTAATGAGTCCTGACACACCTGTCACAGGCAGTGTTGTAAAGTAACTAAGAATATTTTCTCCAGATACTTTTACTTTTGGTACTTTAACTATATTTTGATGATAATACTGTTCTACTTTTACTTGAGTAACATTTTGATTGCAGGACCTTTAGTGTAACAGAGTATTCCTACACTCTGGTACCTCTACTTTTACTTAAGTACACGATCTGATACATTTCTTTTATTTGGAACTTTTGACTTAAGTAGACTCTCTCTGTTTGAGTTGGTAATATAAAGTGTCTTCCGTGTTCGTGGGGGGAGGGGTGTGTGTGTGTTTGGTAATGTCCTGCTATGTGTGTCAGACCTCATACAGACACACACATTCTCCTCGTGCTCCTCTTCCCCTGTCAGAGTGTTTTTCTCTTTCTGTCCTCTGTGTGACATCACCAGTGTGGGGCAGGGAGAGAGAGAGAGAGAGAGAGAGGAGGAGAAATGAGAGGCGTGTGTAATGAGTAATGGTGGGTTGTGAGAGAATAGATCTACTGTAAGAGTCCTGAGCAGCTGGCTAATGGTCGCAGCTACCCACATCCCAGAGAACATCTCCTGTCCAGGGGACAATGTCTGTCTGTCTGCGTCTCTGAGCTGAACATGTTGAGGAGTTTCTCAATGCCTGACTTATTTTCCAATTGGTTGGATCGCGTGCTACGACATGAAAACATAAAAAGGAAGACATCCACAATCTCTGTTGTTTTGGTGCAAAGGGTTGCTGGATAACATTACCTATAATTG